TTTTGGCTGCAAAATGTTGACACAGTCCTTTTGGCTTCAAAGCTCCAGAAGCTTTTAATAGGAATAGAAGGGAACTTTTGCAGGCAGGTAACTTCTCACAGCAACCATTTTGGGATTTGAGGTTTCTTCGAAGTGGGACAGAAAAATGCACAATATACGCACGATCATGGTCGAGGGGAGTGAATGATTTTTATTCCTCCAGGAGGGGTATTGGAACTTAACTGCCAATTTTTTCATTCTCCTATCTATCAACTTAAGCAGAAATAAAACTAACAATTTGCTTCAAGATAGCTTTGACAGATTGGGGGTGAAAATAATGGCAGCATTAAAGTGCAATAAATTCTCATATCTAAAATATATATTTTTATGAAATAACAAAGGCAAAAGCTTGTTGCAGAAACTTTGCAATCAATAACTTCTCCATCTTATAAGGGGAAAATCCTTATAAACTTCATGGTGACATGGCAGCAAACAAATTAAATGAATAAATCTATTATTGGAATCCACTTACTGCCCTGCTAGTCCCTGTATTAGCTGTTATAGAAGTCACGATTTCCCAATACCCAAAAAGACATCGAAGGTTTGAAGGTCTTGTGCAGGAGACAATGACAGAAACAACTCTGGACAGAGGCAGGCTTCAATAGAGTCCTTTATTGCTCTGCTAATTCCATAATAAATGGCCTACAATAGCTAGAAAAGCTCCACCCCAAACTTCCTTGAAGGCAGCCATTCACAGTACCACCAAATTCGTAAAGGCAGATAGGAAGTCCAAAAACAAGGTGCAAGTCCAGAGGGCTATGTCTGTAAGTCATACACAAGTCCACAAGGCAAAGGCACAGGCAGAAACACGATTCAAAGCAGAGTTTTCCAAGGCCAGGAAAGTGCATGCCAAAGCAAAATAATTGTTCCTGACAAATATGCCTTCCCCCAGCCTCTACTTAAGTCAACCCAAGCCAGGTGTTCCGTATGAGGAGGGGCAGGGCGACCTTCTCGTGAGCAGCCTCACAAACCTCCATTGAGCTTGTCTCCCCTCCATTTTCCATGCCCTCAGATTGAGTGGGGGAAACAGTTGTTCCTCATCAGAGGGGATCTGCTGCCTCTCATCACCACTGCCCATCAGCAGCCGATCCTTCCTTGTGTTTGGGAGGGCAGGCAGCTAGCTCCCTGTCTGGTTGATCACCTCTCCCAATGCCTGAGGGGTCTGGGACAGCATCGTCGTCAGTCCCTTGCCTCCCCAAACAATACAGGGGAGACCTGCCATCCCCACCAGCTGGTCCCGGTTCCAATTTCTCCTCCGAACCGGGATCTGCTGGGGCCATGACACATCATCACTTGACACTAAGAGGCAAACTTTAGGCATAACAGTATAGTGCCAGGGTTAAGGCATTTGATATAGATTAGGGTGACCCACATTTAACTATGGAGCTCACTGGATGATGTTGAGCACATTCACTCCTGACTCAATCTGTCTTTTGTCAGGCTGAAAGGAGGTGATGTTCTGAACTCTCAATAATAAATGATAAAATAACAGACCATTAATTCTGTCAACACATGAAAATGGTTATTGAAAAAGAAAGCACTTGTAACCCAGTTATTTTTGCAAGTGCATAAGTCCTTGTTTTAATTTCTTCTTACAGAATATTGGCAAAAGACTAAAAACAGCAAACTTAGAATAGTCATTTGGAATAAGATTATTACAAGAAGTCAATGATCATGTGCAGTAGATATGCATAGGAGGCATAGGAAGAAGCTACAACTGAACAGCAATATATCTGGTCCGCATGTCAAATCTTCAGATTCAATTTTGGCATCTCTAGTTAAATGGGTTTGATGTATCGGAACTGGGAAAAATATCCTTGAGGTGTTATCTATTGGAATCCAGCATCTTTAGCATTTCTGACCCAGATATGGAGCCACTTAATATGCTTAGCTACTGCAGACAGATGAGACCAACACTTGTATCTATAAACTGCTTATTTAATATATAAATTATTCTGCAGTAAAATTTATATTGAAAAAAAAATACAGTAATTGTATGTTCACTAGGTTACATTATTAAATGAAAGCTCTCTTAACTGAAAAACATGCTTTAAAGACCTCAGACATGACCTTCGTTTTATTAAATTTACCAGTAATTAGCTACTAGCATGCCAATTCATTTATTAATTTGATAAGGCCATCTTTGTCAAATTGGTAACAACCATGACAGCAAGTTGAATGTAAAACTAACATAGCAAATGTTTGGATTCACTTTACAATCCAGAAATCAGATTAAGACTTAATGCCCTATTTCAGTGTGACTGAACCTTCCATTACATAAATCTGATAAAGTTAAATTGTAACTTAGAAAAATGTATGTCTTTTAATAAAGTTTGTACATCTGAAAATTCATCACCAAATTTTTTTGGCTGGCATAGGCTACATGGCTTTCCTTCTATGTTTAATATGTTTATAAATTCTGATAGAAGATAATATATGTAGCTCAGAGTTGAATTGTGGAAACTTGGTGCTTTCAAAGTTTGATTATTTGCTTGTAGGTGTTTCATCACCCAACTAGGAATGTGTTAGGTGGCAAGGAAGAATTGGCTGGAGGGAACCAAAGATGACTTTTTTCCACAGTGGCCCCTGCTCTATAGAACACTGGACATTAGAATAGCCTACACCCTTTCATAAGGGCCTATAAATCTATCTGTGTTTCCATGCCTGGGGTGCTGATGTTAAGAGCTCCATTTCCTGGTTGTATTACTAACTGGCCAAGTATCTTGCTTCTATGTATATTTAATCTCGATGATTTTAAGACTCTAGAACAGCGGTTCTCAACCTGTGGGTTGCGACCCTTTTGGGGGTCGAACGACCCTTTCACAGGGGTCGCCTAAGACTATCGGAAAACACATATTTCCGATGGTCTTAGGAACTGAGACACTGCTCTGCATCCATCTCCTCCGCCACTTGCAGAGAGAGACAGAGAGAGGCACTTTCGCTTCCCTTCTCTCTCTCTCTCTCTCTCTCTCTCTCTCTCTCTCTCTCTCTCTCTCTCTCGGACTTACCTCCTGCAGGGCTCCTGATTGGCCCTGCGCCTGGGTGCCCCACCCCCTGGGAGAAGCGCGGCCAGGGCTTCGTGGCCTTGGAGCCGCCCGGGGAAGCCCCAGGATCCCTGCTGGGAGCGGCCTGCTGGAGGCTCCACTGAGCGGGCCAGCCCTCCCGCAAGCCGCAGCCCAAGGGAGACCACCCTCTGCGATCCCCAGCCAGCCTGACCATTGGACCTGCTGGCCAGGAAGGCACGCCGAAGTCCAGGCTGCCGGGAAGGAAGGAGATTCAGCAAAGGTAGGAGAGCCGCCTCCTGGGGCCCAGCGCTGGCGGTGGCTTCCTTGCCTTCCTCCTCCCCTTCTTCCTCCTACTGCCCCCAAGGCGGCTTGGATGGGCGCCGGGGCAAAAGGGATGCCTGGGGGGGGAGCAGACGGGCTGGCGGGCCGTGTGGCACCAGCCCCTACCGCGGCTCCATTGGATGGGCGGAGGGCGAGACCGGGCAGCGGGGAGTCCCGGCTGGGACGGTGGCAGTGGTTTTTCTCGCCCTTCTCCCTCCTGCTGCCCCCAAGGCAGCTCGGGCAGGCGCCGGGAGAAAGAGAGGTGCCTGGGAGGGAGCAGTCGGGCTGGCAGAGGGGCTGTTGGGCTGCACGGCACCAGCCCTCACCGCGGCTCCATCGGATGGGCAGAGGGCGAGGCCGGGCAGCACGGAGTCCTGGCTGGGACGGTGGCAGCGGTTTTCTCCCCCTTCTCCTCTCCGTCCTCCTGCTGCCCCCAAGGCGGCTCAGGCTGGCACCGGGGCAAAAGGGGTGCCTGGGTGGAGCAGCTGGGCTGGAAGAGGGGCTGGTGGGGGTGGCGGCAGGGCTGGGCGTGGCGGGGACTCCCAACGATGCAACAGTGGCCGCCGCCGCCAGAGCCGCTGCCTCCTGTCCTGCTCCCTCTCCCCACCCATTCAGCTGAGGACACAGCGGAGGCTGGGCCGGGGGGCAGCGGGGACCCCTGACGATGCTGCCATAAGAGAGAGGAAAGAGAGAGGAACAGAGGAAAAGAGAGAAAGAGAGGAAAGCTGGATGTGGGTTTGGGGGTCACCACAACATGAGGAACTGTATTAAAGGGTCGCAGCATTAGGAAGGTTGAGAACCACTGCTCTATAAAAAGTGCAGAAAAGAGCAACAAAGATGATTAGAGGATTGGAGGTTAAAGAACGGTTACAGGAACTGGGCATGGCTAGTCTAGTGAAGAGAAGGACCGGGGGAGACATGATAGCAATGTTCCAATATTTGAGGGGTTGTCACAGAGAGGAGGGGATCAACCTATTTTCCAAAGCACCTGAAGGCCAGACAAGGAATAACAGATGGAAACTGATCAGCAAGAACAATCAACCAATGGAACAGTTTGCCTTCAGATGTTGAGGGAGTTTCATTGCTGGAAGCTTTCAAGAAAAGACTGGACTGCCATTTGTTCAAAAAAGGTGTAGGGTCTCCTGCTTGGGTGGGAGTTTGGACTAGATGACCTACAAGATCCCTTCCAACTCTGTTATTCTAATTCTAATGTTTAAAAAAGTTTTTAGTAATTTTAATTGTAATATTTTTAAAATTGCAAGCTGCCCAGAATCATTGACTGAGATGGGCGGCTATAGAATAAACAAACAAACAAACAATCAGTGTGAGTAAATGTGGAGTTTGTTCCTATATACAATAGTTTGTCTTGCCAGTTTTGGTGAAGATATGGTTTTCTTCTTACTTGAATTTGAAAAATTATTAGCTTGTAGCAATTGTATTATTGGATATAAGAGCATTTTAGTCTAATAACTTAAGAAATTAAGAAAATAAAAAATAAGAAAATGTAAACAAGAAAATGTTTACATTGTTTGTTAGTCTTAAGGCATTTTGTCTCCTATGGAAGAAAGCTTACATTAATTCCTGTAAAGGCTGCACATCTAAGAGTCTATTACTATATACTTATGGAAAAATTACCCTTAATTTTCCCAGTCTGTGCATGGTAGATTCTCTTCCTCATCTTCAGACTCTGGTGATGCTTCCTTAATCCGTCGTAGTGCTTCATGGATGCTGCGAGTTAAAGGATCATCATCAGGTAAAATTGTGAATGATTCTCTCATAATGTCCTTTTGAACCTTCTTCAGTTTCACGCCTTTTCTGATCTGTGCCAAGATGTTATTGCTGTCATCTTCATCGGGAAATGGGGGTAGATTTCTCTGTTCAACCTTCCTCAGATGGAAGCTGCCACGTTTCAGAGAAGCCAAAACCTCATCCATTGGTGAACTCACTATAGAAAATAGTAAGACTCACTGAATATAAATTTACATACTACAAGTTCTAACTTTATCTTGTGTGCAGTATTAAGGTCCAAAGTGAGAAAAGTGCTTATAAAAGTGTACAGTATTCATATCCAAAATGAGAAAAGTGCTTCAATCTAATGTGGGTGCACTTGCTGTACTTTTTGAATTTCCTTAAAGAAGTCACATATCCTCTTGGGCTTGCACAACAGCTACAACATAATCTTATGAAAATCTATGTTTGAATTACGTAAGAGGTTGACAATAGCCCAGATCACCTAAACAGCCTACATAAATAGGATAAACAATCTTATTTATGGCACATTAAATAGTTTCCAGCAATATAACTTTAATATAAGTTTAATATAACTTTTTCTTCATAGAAAGCAAAAATAAAACAAAAAAATAGATCTGAAACAAAATTCACTTATCCCTTCTTTGGATGCAGATTTTTGTAAAGTAATTGTTTCCTATTATTAACAAAACAAAGGAAACTGTTTAGATCATAGAAGATAGGGAAGTTTTTTTAAAAAAAAATAATAAACCTCTACTAATCATTTCTTGGATACAGTATGTCTACAGTATAGCGTATGTCTACTTTTTGAGGTTGCAGTTTTTTAAAAATCCTGAAACAAGTACCATCCTTAATCAGGCAACAATGGAAAGAGGCAACAATGGAAAGAGATATATTTAAATTATAAATAAATATAAACCTGATGTTGTACTTTGGTTGATGGAAACAATACTAATACAATTGGAATCATGCTATGATTAAGAAAAAGATTCACATGATAGTAACGCAGTATTCCCAACTAAGAAATTCATAATTGATTATTGATCCTCCCCCACCTTCCCATAAACATTCAAGTTATATTTCAAATGCTTTTGAAAGATCCTTTGTTTCAAATATGTGGGCCTAGGCAGATATTGTTTATGGTATATAATCTCAAAGTTTTATTTAGGGAGACAAGCTAATGATTTGAAACCTGGCTATTATGTTTGATCATTAGCCAAGCAATAGTAAACAAGCACTGATTTTACTTTTTACATAACCCCATTCAAAATAAATCAGAAATTACCTCTTCTTCTTTGCAATCCTTCTATATCACCAGTTTTCTTCAATTTTTTCTTGGCACTGACTAATTCACTGCTATCAAAAAAATGAGCTGATGGTGCAATAGTGATCAATGGCTTCTCTGCACTGCTTTGTTTAACAGGACTAGTGCTTTTTTCAGAACATTGAGTAGATTCTTCCTTAGTGGGCAGAGGTGGTGGTGGTGGCGGTGGTAGAGGAGGAGGCAATGGTGCCTCACTGATTGTATTGGAATGAAATTCATTACTAATGAGAGCTGGAAGAGAATCAGTTTGAGAAAATTCAGACATAACACTACTAGGAGATTGAAAAATATCTTCAAATTGTCCTAAACTTCTAGACTCCTGTTTTTGTAAAGGCTGGATTACTTTTTCTTGCTCCACATTATCTGTTTGTGTAGTTACTGGTGAAGATGGGGGATGATCTAGACAAGATACTGAAGTGGCTGTACTTTTTCTTCTCGCATGAGCCAGCCGAAGTCTAGTCGATTTGAGAATTACCTGCCCAGGATAGCGCTTAGAAAGTAAGAAAGAAAGAAAAAGGAATTTAAATTGTAAAATTTTACACTTCTGTAGTCCAATATGTAAACTTCCTTTTTAAAAAGTTACAGTAAGAAGTCACTTACATATTTCATATTTCAGTGCCAGAAACGTAAATAAAACAAAATATGAAAGAAAAACAATATTGAAATCACATTTTCCATAGAGGTGGAATGTAAACTATTATGAATGCTGTCATAATAGTTTATTCATCTGAAGAAGAAAATTCATTCAAAGTAAATTTTCTATTTCTGCACTATTGATGTATTGTGCAGAACATTACATGAAGAACATTTTAATTCCTCTATACTTTTTCAACAACCTTACTGATATATACACTGATTATTGGTAACCCAACAGTCAGCAAGAACTATATCAAAAATCATAATAAAAAGATAAAAAAAGATAACAAATATGTGAAACTAAGCTTTAAATTTTCCTATTTTAAAATTGATTTTTAAAAAATCATAAAAGTTTTTTCTTTTTAAACGAAATTTTTAGTCCTTTATAGATCTGAAAGGCTATATAATGTGCTTAACTAAATTGAAAAATCTATTTAGAAGATTCTAATTACTCTGAGTTGAAATTAAAATGATTTTAATATAGTAATCTTCTTTATTAATTTCCTGTGATAATTTAATTTAATTTAACATAATTTAACAACCAATCCACACATCATGTGTATTGATGATAGGGAGTTCTGGCAAATTCAGACTTCAGAGGGTAAGTTCAAATTGTTATTTAATAATTTGTTTAACAATTTATTATTTAAACTACTATATGAAAATGCAAGTGAAATCAATCTTTTCCAATTACCTGTTTAAATGTTCGAAGTCTGTCCAATGTTTTCTGTCGTTCTTGACTAACCCATGAGCTTTTTCTTTCTACCTCATCTTGCAACCGCTCCCTTTTCTGAGGATAAAAACAAATGGAAACATAGAAGAGGAACAGAAATTTGGGAGAAAAGAATAATATCCTTACATTATAACTTTCTTCTCCAGAAGACAATATAGTGTGGTCCTTAATGGAACTACATCTACATGTAAGCAGTGGGGTATCCCAAGGTTCTGTCTTAGGCCCAGTACTCTTCAGTATCTTCACAAACAATTTGGATGAGGGAATAGAAGGGGAACTCATCAAATCTGGATATGACATCAAGGAATCGGCAACACCCCAGAAGATAGGCTCAAGATTCAGAAGGATCTTGACAGTCTTGAACACTGGGCCCTATCTATAAAATCAAATTTAGTGGTGAGAAAAGTAAGGTTTTACACTTAGGCAAGAAAAACCAAATGTACAGCTGTAGAATAAGGGGGATCTGGCTCAATAGCAGTAACTGCGAGAGGGATCTTGGAGTCTTAGTGGTCAATCACTTAAATATGAGTCAGCAGTGTGCTGCAACCAATACAATTCTACGCTACATTAACAAAGGGATAGAATCAAGATCACATGAAGTGCTAATACCACTTTATAATGCCTTGGTGAGACCACACTTGAAATACTGCATATAGTTTTAGTCACCACAATATAAAAAAGATGTTGAGACTTGGAAAAGATGCAGAGAGCAACAAAGATGATTAGAGAGCTGGAAGCTAAAATATATGAAGAACGGTTACAGGGTATGTCTAGCCTAGTGAAAAGGAGGATCAGGAGTGATATGATAGCTATGTTCCAATATTTGAGGGGTTGCTACAAAAAATGGATGGAAACTAATTATGGAGAAAACCAACCTAGAACTAAAGATAAATTTCTTGACAGTGAGAACAGTTAACCAGTACCAACTTGCCTTCAGAAGCTGTAGTGCTTCATTATTGGAGGTTTTAAAGAAGAGATAGGACAGTGATTTGTCCAGAATAGTATAGGGTCTCCTGCTTGTGCAGGGGGTAGGACTAGAACACTTCCAAGGTCCTTCCCAACTATGTTATTCTGTTCTGTTCTGAAATGATCACTGAAACAAAGGTCACTAAACTTTAATGTCAAAAAGCAAATATGAAAGACATCTTAAACAGTTCTTTCTGCCCAAAAATGATGTGTATGTATATGCATGTATGTGTGTGTGTGTATGTATGTATGTGTATGTATGTATGTATATATATATATATATATATATATATATATATATATATATATATATATGTATATGTGTGTGTATATATATATATATATATATATATATATATATATATATATATGTATGTTCATATACATATTTAAAAGTAAAACATGCCTTAACATTTCAGAATGTAAAAGTGTTAAGATATATCAGCAGCAGCAGCATTTTAGCCATTGTCTATCCACTGCAGGATGAAGGCCTCTTCTGCATGTTTTCAACCTATATGATCCTGAGCTTTCTTTTGCCAACTGGGCCCGCAATACCTGCTGATGTCGTTGATCCATCTTGCTTTAGGTCTCTTTCGTGGATGCTTTTTATCACATGGGATTCATTCTATGATTGCCTTTGTCCACTTGCCATCAGCTCTTCTTGCTATGTGACCAGCCCATTTCCATTTCAATTCTTGATGATATCATATACTTTCATTTATTCTCAATCCATGTGCAGTCTTTCTACCGTGTCTTATAATGCCGAGTATGTATCTTTCCATGGCTCTTTGTGCCACTCATAGCTTTTGTATTGATTGTGAGGTGAGTATCCATGTTTCACTGGCGTATGTTAGAGCAGGTAGCACACATTGATTGAAAACTTTTCTCTTCAGGCATAGGGGGAAGTTGTTTTTGAAAATTATGCTTAGCTTGCCGAATGCCTGCCAACCACATTATCATGCCATTCAATTTATTATATCATTTTCCACTGAGATCCATTGGCCAAAGTACATGTATTGGTCTACTAGTCTAGTTCTTCTCCAAATATAATTTTTTTTCTTTAGTGAATTTATTACACATAATCTGGCTCTTTTTTAGGTTTACTTTTAAGCCAAATGGTTCTCCTGCCTCATGCAGTTCTTGTATGTGTCTTTGTAGTTGGTCTTGTGAGAAGAAAGCAGCAGCATCTGCAAATCATAAGTAATTTAAATAGTTGCCATTGTTTTTTATTCCAACTTTTGCCCATCCTTTTTGTAAAATACTTCTTCAAGGAAGGCTGAGAAAAGGAAAGGTGATACTGTATCACCTTGTCATACACCTCATTCTATATTGATTTCCATTTTAAGATAATTAAGGCAAATTGTCACTATTGTTTTTTCATATATTGATTGTAGTAAGTTTATACAAGCAGTGTATATGCCTTGATTGAGCAATGCATTAATTACTGCTTGCTGGAATACTGAGTCAAACGCCTTTTTGTAGTCAATGGAAGCCATGCACAGAGGCATGATGTACTTATTGTGCCTTTCAATGACTTGCTGAACAACCTGGATATGATCCATTGTGCTGTAGCTGCTTCTGAACCCTGCTTGCTCCTTTGTCTGTCGAAAAGAGCATATGAAAATAATAAAGACATGATGAAAAACAAAAATAAAGAATGATAAGCGGTTAGAGGAGAACAGCGATTTTTGAGATTAATCTGTCAAATCGCTTTGATCTATTGCAAGATTTGAAGAGATGAACATTACGGACCAAACTGAACAAATAGTCAAAAACTTCCTTGAATCTGCTACATCTATAGCACCACCGAAAAAAACACTTGGTACAGTCAAAAATCTCTAATGAGATTTTTATTGATTTAATGAAAAAAATGACGGAAAATGAATACCAGAAATTTCACTAATAAACTGAAGTATGTTGAACTTTGCAAGACCATAAGAAAAGGTATCCAAGAAGGAACATGTCAGTTTAACGTGAAGCTTGTTAAAAAGGCAGTTGAAGAAAACAAAGGGATTCATAGAGCAAAATGCAAGCTTATAAATATAAGAAAGAAGATTTTTGCATTAAAACATAAAGATGGCTCTGTGTGCAGAACAAGACAGGAAATGTTAGAAATAATTGGAAAATTCTATTCAGAGCTATACAAAGTTCAAGATCACTCAAAAATAACAACACCCACGAAAAAGGAAATGCTAGATATCCTAATGGAGGAAGGATCAAGTGCCATAAAATCAATGAAAAATGGCAAATCTTCAAGAAATGGCTGTATTATGGTTGAAATGCTGAAAGCTGGTGGTCACAGTTTACACAAGATATTAGCAAAACTATACCCGAGATGCCTCTGAGAAGAAAAAATATCCGATGAATGGAAAAATGCTGAAGTTATTCTTTTACACAAGAATGGGGTCCAAGATGATTTAAAGAACTATCGCCCAATAAGCCTTCTTTCAGTTAAGATATATAGGAATATGAAAAGCATGCTGCTCTATATCAGGCTTATTTTTCATTCTCATTGCAGTTTTAAGGATTATACTAGTTTAAACTGATAAGCAAATATTGCATATATATATGTTTTCTTCTATCCAAAAAATTGGTGATTATTGGCCTATTTGGCCCTATAATAACATGAAATATTAATTGTATTGGTAGCTGCTCAGAAGTATTTTTAATAATAAATTGCCGCCATCCCACTCAAAAATTCTAGAAAAGTAGCCATGTTAGTCTTTTGCACTAAAAAATCCTCAGAGAATATTACTATATCTTTAACCAAGTTAAAAATGAACATGCATCTGATAAATTGATAAGCTGGAATAGATCCACAAAAGGTAATGGGATTCTTTAAAAAAAGGATTAATCTTTAAAGTATAACTATCATAGGATAGTGTTTTTTTTCATTCTTGTCTCTTAATATATAGTTGGGTACTAAAACTCTACAGATTATTTAGAATCCAATAACTGAGATTTTTTTAGTACTGAATGCTTTCTGGACTATTTCTTAGTCACGTCTGTAGTCATTTCCAAAATAATCTTGCAAATAGCTTAATTCCACAGTCAGGTTCTTTTGCGCCTTAATATTTGTTGCAGTAATATTATCTTTTAAAGTCATGATTATGATAACTCCCTTTGCTTCCCTCTGAGTAAAATAGTCCTTAATCACTTCTTTGACATAAAATTGGCCTGAAGTATAAAGTATTTTTCAAAGAAGCTAGTGGAGGTTCAACTTCTCCCTGCATCATTCTGATTAAAAAGTGTAATACCTCTAACTGAAGATTATCAAAGCTTTTAACTAGTTGTACTCACTTTAAGCACCTTTTAATTTATTTTTAAAATGTATCAACTGATGTCAAAGAGTGATTTCAGGATTCCCTAATGTTAACTGGGCCAAATCTAACTTCTGAAACATATTATGAACACAAAGCCAACTGAGAAAGCAAAATACAAAGTGCATTTCTTAGTAATAGAAAGCAGTTATATGATTTAACTTCTCATGAACATTTATAAATGGAGATACTAGTTGATGTTAACAATGGGAATCATAGACTCGAGATTGATATTCAATTATTTTAGACAAAAATAAGATAGAACTGTTAAGTTAATGAAACAAAACATACAAACAATAAAATAATATCCATTTTGGTCAACACATACCAAAAAATGGTGGCAAGTTAAAAATATGGGGGGGGCCTACATATATAAGCTCCTGTAAAATTCTGTAAAAAGGGCACTAGCAATTGCACCAATACCAATTTCATGTAAAAGCAGCAAAAACACAAATACAGAAGTTTTTTTTAAGAATCTTAAATCAGCAAAGACAATTAGAGCTGGCATATTTAAACTAAAATTTTAATACTGACAGAAACCAAACTCACAAATTTTGTAGCATGTTCTGACTCTCCTTCACTCTGAGAATGCTGTGACAATTTTTCATTATGTTTTGCAATGCAGATTTCCTACAAAGAAAGAACATTTTTCATTTAAACATGACTTTATGTATCGACCCTGTCTTTAGTAGAGGAACTGTTAAGGGCTATAGAAAACAATTTAAATTCTGATTTACAGCGGAAGCTCTGCCACAGACAATTTATTTATATAGTATTCTATCAGTGTTAAGGTATAATATGTGAAAATCTGTGATTGTCCATGGATCCAAAGACCTCTCATTTTTGCAAGACAAAGAATAACACTTTGATTGGTACACTGATTTCTTTGCAATAGAATTAACAGAAACAGGGAGTCCTGATCATAGTAAGTTTGCAAACTAGGATATAGCAGTTAGTTTGCCATAGAATCCCACCCTCCATAGGATTTACACTATAGAGTAAACATTATTTAAGAGAATGGAGGATATTACAAACTGAATAAAACAAAGAGGTTTTTTTTCTACTGACATAATATACACGTGTGTGTGACTTGAGGCTTTTGACTAGTTTTCAAGTATTATGTCTCTCTCTCTCTCTCATTCTTTTTCTATAAACATAACAATAGATAAATCATACTTAATCCAATTGAGAAAAATGTATAATTTCTTTAGTATCCAACTGAAATTAAAATATGCAGTTGTATTATGCAATTGAAGTTAAAGCATAATTTCATTTAGTTCCAAACTGGTTGTATAAACCCATTTTGGATGCATTATTTCTAAGGAATCTAAAAAATAATAATTATTATTATTATTTTAAAAATAAAAAAATCTGGAACTGTAGATTATTAATCCCTGACTAATATAACACTAATTAAAGATCTATCTCACACTCTTCAGTCCTACAATGGTGTTTATAGCAAAGAAACAAAAAGATGAATGTGTGTTCAAGCGAATACTATCACCAACCATATTTTGGGCAAATTGGCATTAAGAAAATATTAAATTTATGGCTGACAAAAATATACAGCAACACGTGATTTTAATTCTGACCATTTAGGATTTATCTAGGCTATATACAGTATACCTGAGTTGAGCAACCATTTGAAAATGAATAAAGATGGCACAGAAATGGCCTAATGCAATCTGTCTTGGCATTAGGGTTGGCTGCTACATTTCAAACAAATAAAATTGTGTCTTTAAAGTTAACATCTCTTGATTTTAGTCCTGCAAAATGTGTTTCCTGAAAAATGGAAAAATGAACAAAAATATTACCTTCTTATTTTTGAGGTAGGCTTTTTTGGCAGAAATGCGACCCCGCCTTGCTTCAAGTTGACGGACTTTCTGTTGTAATTTTTGCAACTCTTCTCTTTGCAGATGTATGGATGCTGCCATATCTTCTTTTTCAAGCATGGCTTCCATACTTTCATAAGTATCATAATATACTACTTCATCTCTTTTTTCTGTCACAAAATTCCAAGTTCAGGTAAGCAAAACTGTAGTACAAAATGTATGCAACAATCTGAAAAGTTTTTTTTTAAATATTGTAAATATAATTATAAGATTAGAACATCTATCTCTGCCTATGCCCTAGGAGAGAAACAAAATCACTTACAAACTAGATTTATTTATTTATTTATTTATGAGACTTATATACCGCTTTAAGTGCAAGCACTCTCTAAGCCAGTGGTTCTCAACCTTTGGGTCGCGACCCCATTTGGGGTCGAACGACCATTTTACGGGGGTCGCCAAACAACGCGATCTGCCATTTTTTCCCTCAGGGAGCGCTGCTGTGCATGCGCGCCACGTCCTTATGACCGGGGTCGCCGTATAAAAAGGTTGAGAACCACTGCTCTAAGCAGTGTACACCAGTAAGCAATGTATATATATATATTTACATTGCCCCCAACAATCTGGGTCCTCATTTTACCTACCTCGGAAGGATGGAAGGCTGAGTCAACCTTGAGCCAGTGAGATTTGAACTGCTGACCTGCTGAACACAGTCAGCTAAAGTGGCCTGCAGTACTGCATTCTAACTGCTGCGCCACCTCGGCAGAGCAGAGGTTTTCCCAGGCTTTTTAACTGGCTTTTAATTTATATTGTTTTTGATTCTGAATTATTGCTTTGCTGCTATTTAGTTTATGTTGTTTATGCATTTTAATTGATAGTATTGTGTATGTATGTATGTATGTATGTATGTATGTATGTTTATTCCAAGTGTATTATTTAGTGAGTCTTATGTAAACCACTCCGACTGCTTCAGCTACTGGGCAGTGTGTAGTGCAGTGTAGTGTAGTTTAATATATAATATAAATGTAAAATGAAGTTGAATGAAAACAAAGCTATATTCTTATATGGTGACTGTGGTAAGCTGGTAGTTACCAGTATGGAAAAATGCATGAAACAAACATTCACAATTTAATTTTTTCTTAGATTGCAACCATAAATTCACTCTATCATCAGAGACCAGCATTGGGCTATTCTGTACAATAGTTTCAATAACTGAACCAGGAAAGAACTAAAGGGGGGCCTTAATGGGTGAGGCATATTTTTTTCTTCTTTCTCTATCCCTTCTCATATAAAAAATGTTTGAACAATCTAGAGATGGAGGGGGGGGAAACCAAACAATTTCTGTAGGCAATCTCTATTATGTCTGATTATTTTTTCTCCCCCATGCTTTACAGAGTGGAGAGATTGCAGAGAAAGAGTTTATAAGAGAGTAAGAAGACACACAATGGGAAATACACTGGCTATTTGCCTAATGTGCTTAAGGCTACCAGCTCCATCACATTATTTTCTATGTGTATTCTCTATTCAATGCCTGCAGACTCTCTTGTAATTTCTTCCTCTCCAATATCTTTGATCTGTGAAGGAAATAAAAGAAAAATAAATCAGGCACAGGACAATGCCTACAAGACTGTACAGGTAGTCCTTGACTTATGACCATAATTGAATCCAGAATTTCCATTGTTAAGCAAGGCAGTTACTAAGTGAGTTTTTCCCCATTTTATGATCTTGCTTGCCACACTTAAGTGAATCACTGCAATTGTTAAATTGGTAACACAGTTGTTAAGTGAAACTGGCTTCCCCATTTTGCTTGTCAGAAGATTGCAAAAAGTGATCACATGACCCGGGACACTGCAACTCTCATTAATACATGCCAGTTACCAAACGTCCGAATTTGGTGGGGATGCTGCAACAATCGTAAGTGTAAAAAACATTCATAAATCACTTTTTTCAGTGCCATTTTAACTTTGAATAGTCACTAAACAAATGGTTGTAAGTCGAGGACTACCTGTAATGGTGATTATGTGTCTGGAGGACTTTGTGAAGATCATAAATGCTGGCATTGTTCATGAAATTATTTTTTAGCAGTGTCATAACTTGAAACAGTTACTGAATGAGGCAGTCAGTAAACAAAGACTTCCTATCAGTCACATCAGTCAATAGTATTGCTAAATATATAGATATAAAACAAATATATGTCACCTGAAATAAGTCTTTTAATGCTTTCAAGTTGTGCTGTCAGTAATAGTTCTTCACACTTCAGAATTTCAAACTGCACTTCATACAATTGAAGTTGCAGGTCATAGTAATCAGCTTCGAGTTCATCCAAATGAGCTATAGCTTCTGTGCCCCCTTGCAAGCTCTGCATCTACATTTTTTTTAAAAAAATTAATAACTACATCACAAAGGTTATAAATCTTAATCTTACCACAAAATAACTGCAAAATATTCCATCACAGAGCAGGACATATTAAATTAGAAATCAAAGGAAAGTAAATATTACTATTCATAACCATAATAGGATTATTATTAATAACCCTATTATTCATGATAATAGCTCAATTTTATATGCATTATCAATGATCATTTTTTATTTTTGTAGAAAGAAAATCTTTAGATAAATTTTCAAAATTTAACATAGTAAAATATCTTACTGTGCTTGGAAATAGTTGAATGGCTCGACAAAAGTTTATGGGGGAGAAAGACCCACTCTTTTACACATATTCATGTGTTTAATACATATATATTGGATTAATACAGCAGAGTGAATTTTAATAGATTGCTTTAATATAATCTTTTTTTCTAAAATAGTTTTCTTTGCCATATATTCAATGTAGTTACATTTGTCTTCACATATGTTAAGATGCAAATTCAGCAACCATAATACCACAAAAAACTTGATTTTTAAAAGTAAAATAGTAAATTGAAGCAACATTATTAAGTTAGTTAGTAAAAACAACAGTTACCCAGTTTCAAAAGGTCATCTTTTCAGAATCTACTTGGAAACAATTATTTGGGGGCACTGAACACACCGCAGCCCAAACATTAAGTTTAAACTTAATTCCAAGCATTACGTTGAAGGCATGTAAATATATCTGATATATTTGTAATTCTCTAAAGTAGGGGTCCCCAACCTCCGGCCCACCGCCCACTACTGGGCTGTGGTGTATTTGCAACTGGCAATGTGAGCAGGAGTCCGGTGAGCATGCCACGCACAGCTCGACTGGAGCAAGTGGTAGGCTGGCATGCACATGCATGCACAGCTCAATTAGTTGAACATGTGCGTATACACTGGCCTGTTGCTTGCATGAGTCAAGCTATGTGCATGCACTAGTCTACTATTCATGCAGTCCAGTTCCCCCCCCCCCAGCCAGGATGCCAAGCCGCTGGGGACTGCTGATCTAAAGAGTGCTCAATGATATAGGATTTCTGGTTGTCATCACAATGACAATACTTATAGACAGTTCCCATATCGCCAGTGGTTGTATTTGTTCACACCAGACAATCCTTATCACCAAGTACAAATGCACTTGGAAGAAGGATTATTAATATATTTATGCATGTAATTCATATTCTTTCAATCACAACGATTCAGTCACTGTTTTAAAGAATATTATTAAATAATATCCATGAAAGAAAAATACTAGACAAAACAGAAAAAAGAGTGAACTACTAATTACATGACTTTGAATTTATTTATTGATATTATTTTATCCAGCCTCTCCAATAGCTACACAATAGCTCTTAATTAATTTCTAATCTCTTTTCAAAGCAAATTTTAATCACTAGCCAACAAATTTACTCTTGCAATTCCTATCAATTATTCTGAAATTTAGCACTATAAAATAAATTTCAAGTTTCCTTTTAAGTTGAATACTCATCAATTATTACCTCTTCTTTTAATGCATGCTTCTTCTGTTCTAAACAGATTTCTTTTGCTCTCATCAATTGCAAAGTATCTTTAGACACTGCATACTGAAGTTTTTCCATTCGTTCCACTGCTGCTGCCCAAGCTGCCTTACCAAACTTTTTCTGGTCTGCTCGCATACGATCATATACAGCTGCAAATAAAATTTAATAGCAGGCTTATCATACTTGGAAATAGTTTTATTATAAATCCTATTTAAGTACATCAGCTTCCTCTTTATGCAAATAAATGTTACAATCTTCAAAGCAGTAGTTATTTTAATAAAACATTTGGGTTGTGTTTTTTTTGTAATGTAGTATTTTTATTCTTATTTAATGTGTTCTATAGACTGAAGTTATTTAATGGCCAAATTATTTGTATTATTTAAAGCAACTAGAGAAAACACACCAAACCAATTAATGGAAAATTAAGGAGGAAATTGTAGAAAAGAAATTGTTTCTTTAGTTATAGTTTTGGTATAATTAAAAATTTATAAACAGAAAAGAAAGTATCCATGGATTTTAGTTAAGAACCAATAGCTTTTTAACTTATATAAGTATTGAATTTGTAAAGGAAGAAATCTGAAGGGGACAAGAAAATTGTAAGAGACACTGATTTCAAGAATGAAACTCAATATAAACTTATTTCTCAAACTTCAATTCCTTGTGTTCAAAGTGGAATGTACCCCACTTCACAGAATGATGCTAATAATCATATTATAGAACACCCTTTCCACATAATATCACAGACTGAATAAGCCCCTTCGATCAGGGAAAACCACACCAATTGGTGATTTGAGCAGAGAGATTTACATAGAACAATTACGATAATTTGAAAAACTGTAAGGTTGCAAGACTGTTGAACACAAAAAAATTTTGGACAGACAGCTCTAGGAGCAAATGTAAAATAGCCTGTCCATTACCTTTTTGTGCTTTTGCTGTTATTTCAAAGTACTTTACTGTAAGGTCCTGTATAGATAATACAGCCATATGAGCCTTCCGTTGCCAGTCAGTATCTTCTTTTTGAAGGCTTTCAATTCTTCTAGGTCCTAGGTAATCATTCTCTATGGAAATCTGAAAATAAATCAATTCACTATATCCATCATGAAATAAATAGCAAAGGACAAGTAGTAAACATATAATCTTGCAAATATTAAATAAGGAAAATTCCTTAAAATATTATCATGGACTTTCCTGAATAGTAAAAAATATTTGGGAAAAATGCAAAATGAACTAATGGTAATTGGACAAATTCTGTTTAAAAAATCATTCAGTACTCCTTTATAACTTTGCTTATTTGCTTATCAAATCTTAAATGGGCATTTTTTAATGTCCTTTTTCCTATTACTGAAAAGGAAAATGATAGAAACAAGACACTGCAATCAGATCTAGGGAATAAAAAAAATTAGAGATGTAAAGGTAAAGGAAACGAAGTAAGCACATAAAGAGACATCTGAAAAAAATCTCTCTATCTTCGTTCCTCTAATTACTAAATTTTCAAAGCACATCTTCCTATTCTTTAAAAGTCTTCCAAATGGAGCAAGCTCCAGGGAACTTGTTAGGCATTTAGAAAAAATAAGCACTCTAGATAGGGGGCAGGCAAAGGATTGCTATGTTCCAGCAAGATGACAATGCTGGAGTACAAAAACAAGAACAGAACAAACAGTGGAAGGAATTCTCTTAATAGAAAAATACTTAAAATACTATATTGAACAGCATTTTTAAAAAGCCTGAAAAGGTGCGGTGACATCCTTTCCTCTCTTCACATCCTAATTACACTGGAAAGGAAAGTAATTGAGGAAAACTTTACAGATGACACTAAATTATAAAATAGTCTCTGTCCAATTATCTACTTCCAGGCAGCCTAATGTTCCCTGAGCACTTTTACTTGATAAGAATAAACAGTTCCTGCCCCTTACTTTTTGGCAAGTAGTTTGCTGAAGATTATCCACCACCAGGGCATGGCATATGGCCATTCTTTTCTTTTTTTATCTTAGTATCTCTTTTCTATCATTGGAAGAGATCTGGTAACATGTTAATAGAATAAGACAGCCAGTAGCTGCACTTCAAATTAAAGTTTAGAAGAGTGAATTACTCATATTTAAGACTGTAGCTCCTAAACATTCAAAATTCCTGTAACAAGTTACCATTTATTGGAAGGATATATTTGGAAGAAAAAGTGGCACTGATGGCATAATGATAAATAGTTAAGTAAAGAATTTTATCGTTTATTATTATGCCATCAGTGTAGTACAGTATGCATCCCCGAGAAGAGGCCATGTGGCCCAGGAACGAACCATTCTGTTTTGTTTCCTTCACACAATCTGCAAAGTTTCTGCAACACTGTGCAGACATTATTAAGGAAGCAAAACAGAGTGGTTCATCCTTGGATTGTTTGACTGCCTCATGGAAGCAGCCAACATTCTGACACATCTGCAAGGAACCGCAGTCATGCTTAAAATGATGGCCACTTCTGGGAGGCAGCCATGTGGCCCAGGGGCACGTGGCTTGGTCTCTTTCCCCAACATGAGGTCTGGAAATCTTAAAAACATGCAACGTATGCATTGGGTGATGGCCATGTGGGGAATAGGCCTAAGGCTTGTGTAATCCTGGTAGGGCAGGATGGATGGAAAGAGAGGCAGGGGGATGTTGCAATGTCCTTCCAGTTGCTCATAAGAGTGAACGAGTGCATGGGAGCTAAAGTGGCCATAACTTTGAAACAGGGTTATAAGTAGCTTGGGGGGGGGTTCTGTCATAACTTCAAATAGACATTAGGTAACCAGTTGGAATTGAAAACTATCTGTACTGCAATTAAACTAACTTAAATCTACTACTATCTTAACAAGAATTCATTATAGTTAGAGGTTTGCTACGAAAATATTTAGCTATGGACATAGAAATAACTGGATGGTTCAGAAGACAGCACAGTTATACAAATGATTTGTAAAGTCAGCAGTGTAGTCCATAACAAATGCCATTTTGCATTTTTTTCATCATTCTGTTGCAACTTAAAACTGATCATCTAACTGGTAACTCTGACATAAGCCTAGAATTTCAAGTTTGTTCAAAAGAAAAACACAACAGTTTTCTTATTCTATTGATTCTATAAAAATATTTTGCAGCTTGTAAGCATTTAACTGCTAAAGGCTCAAAACCCAGAGCATATGTGATCCACATAAAATTTCAGTGACCAAGTAAGATATTCCTTACTCACTAAAAACAACAGTTCAATACATTAGAAAGTTAAGCCAAATCCATTTGAGTTCAAAGATCAAACATCTTTTCTCATAGCCAAGTCTCTTATTTGCCTTCTCCACAAATACTTTAACTAAGAAAAGAAATCAGAAGGGACAATAATAAAGCTTAAAAAGCATGAACAGAAGTCATTCTTGTACTTCTAACTTTGATCCAACCCAAGACACAAACTTTTACAGCTTTCAGAAAGTGTGACAAATATTAAACAAAATGTCCAAAATATCACGTTGGATGAAACGGTTCACTTATTATGATGTTCAATAATATTTCACAGTGTATATTGCTGATTTTGTACCTTTATTTGCTGTCTTCTGAGCATTGCAAGTTCCCTCATATCTCGGAATGGTTGCAGTAAATATTGATAGAGTTCTGTGGTGGCTTCAGCAAGACTACCATATGCATCATCTTCCATTTGATATAATTCCAGCAACTCCACCATGCTTTCTGTATTCTTGTGTTTTTCCAGAAGCTGTGCAAAAGTGAAAGAAAATATTAAAGTATTATTAAATTTAAAATATAAAACCCTATGAAATAGGAGCTCATAATTTTGGCTACTAACATTCATCCTAGTATCTCAGTGTATGATATTGGTATCTTAATCACACCCCATATTTTTTTGTTAAATTATAAAACAAAAATAGCTAAGACAATAGATCTGGCCCCTTTTTTATTTAAACACCATGGTATCCAAGTATTAGTTATTGGTTACATTCATTTATTTGTTTACTTATATTGCTGTTCCAATCCAGCAGGCTGTGGACTTATAAAGATAATTTGTTATTTATTAAAAGCTTTTCATGTAATAAAATTTTGATTCTTCCAGCATGTTGTCCAGCTATAGAACCTTCTACTTGATGTAGAATTATGCAGTATTTTCTACACTGTCCACAGTTTAAGGATAATATGCATGGAATTCAAGAATTTAATTGCTTATATTGTAAGACTCACTACTCAGAACAGTAAAAAATACAAAGCAGCATCCATTCTTAAAAGATTAACCTACAGATTAATTTTTATCGCATAGCATAGACATTCATGGAGAGGGGAGGAACGAAATGAGCATCATGATGAGTTGGTGCAAAAGTCACAATTTATGTACTTGTGTCAGATTTTGGATGGAGTTTACATCATGATGTCATCGTGGGTATTCTTATTCTGACACAATCTTGGCTTGTTGCAGATACTGCTGACACATAAATAGCTGTGCACAGGCATCTGTGCATAGAAACACATACATGCACAGAACACTCACAGATATCATGCAAGAAGAAAGCCTGGATGAGGTTTAGCAAGCATATAAGAATCTTCCTTTCCCAGTAATGAATTAACCCATTTTAATATACATAGTAAGCAGGAGAGAGAGCGCAAGTCCTCTATGCTAATCCTGGGTGATTATACTTACTTTATCATCATCATCATCATCACCACCACCACCACCACCACCGTTTTAGCCATTGTCTATCCACTGCAGGATGAATGCCTCTTCCAACCAATATTATTTATATTTATATTATTTTTTAATTGGAGGACAATAAAAAGCTTAAAACTATTTAAAATTAAAACCTGTATAATATTCTATACAAGTTGTCTTCAGGTAATGATGGTAATTGCTAACACTTGTCTGTTGCTAAGTGACATGGATGTATCGCACAATGTCATATGACTGTGTCAACTTACAATGGCAGTTCCAGCAGTTTCAATTGCAGTTGTTAAGTGAACATCATGTGATTGCTGTTTGCAACTTCTTGTTGCCATAGATGTTGGAAGACAACACCGAAATTTGCAAATTGTGATCACATGGCTGTAGGACACTGCAACTATTATAATTGTGAGCTAGTTGTCAAGAACTCAAGAACGGTGCAACAACTGCAATTTTGATGACTTGTCTTAAGTCTCTTTGTTCAATACTACTGTAATTTCAAATAGTTGCTGAATAAATTATAGTTAAATGAGGACTACCTGTAGTTAGTCTGTGCCTTATGTAGCAATCACTTTATGATTGATTGTTAAATAAAAAGTATAACCAAAAACTGTTCAGGCAATGGACAATAGCTCTTTATCATGGTTCCTTCATACTGTATTTCTTTTCTTTTAATCCACAGATTCAAACAATACTTAATAAAGCAAATAAGGTTTTAAAATCCTGAACAGGAAACAACTAGTTAATTAGCATAACTCTGCCAGTAATATAATAAAGGGGTTCCCAACTGGGAGTGCTTGCATCCCCTGCGGGTGTGAGACGATATTCCAGGGGTGCAAAAACTTGGATTTAGAAGTTTCAAAATTATAGTGTATATGAATAGAATAGAACAGAACAGAACAGAAGTCTTCTAGTCCAGCCCCCTGCTAAAGCAGAAGAACCTATACCGTCTCAGACAGGTGAATGTCCAGCAAAAATGAGACAGTTGTTAAGTGATTTTTGCCCCATTTTACAACTTTTCTTGCCACAGTTATAAAATGAATCATTTGCAGTTGTTAGTAACATGGTTGTTAAGTGAATCTGGCTTCCCACTGACTTTGTTTGTCAAAAGGTAATAACATGACCCTAGGACACTGCAACCATCATAAATATGAGTGAGTTGCCAAGCATCTGAGTTTTGATCGTATGACCACAGGGATACTGCAATGGTTATCAGTGTGAAAAACGGTCATAAGTAATTTTTTCAGTGCCATCGTAACTTCAAATGGTCACTAAATGAACTGTTATAAATTGTGGACTACCTGTACATACATATATACATATATACCTATATACATACATACATACATATATATATACATATATACATACATACATACATACATATATATATATACTCACCTGTCATTGCCAACCTCTACATGGAACACTTTGAAACCCAAGCTCTAGAAAAATCTGATCACAAACCCAAACTCTGGCTCAGATACGTAGACGACACCTTCATAATCTGGCCACATGGGAAAGAAAAACTGGACAACTTCCTCACACACCTCAACAGCCTACACCCCAAAATACAGTTCACCATGGAAACAGAAGCTAACAACCAACTTCCCTTCCTGGATGTCTTAGTCTACAAGAAATCCAATGGCTCCCTAGGACACACCATCTACCAGAAGAAAACACACACAAACCGCTATCTGCACGCTCTCTCACACCACCACCCAGCACAGATCAACTCTGTAGCCAAGACACTCATCTCCAGAACAAAACGCTTAGCTGACGAACAACACCTAAAACCCGAACTACACACTCTCACCAATGTACTAACATCCAATGGATTCCATAGAAATAAGATTACAAACCTAATCCAAAAAGAAACCCCCACTAAAATCCAAGACAAAGAACAAGAAAACGGCAAAGCCCTCCTCCCATACATAAAAGGCACCACAGACAGAATCAGTAAGATCCTCCATAAACACAACATCAAAACAGCATTCTGCACAAACAGAAAAATATCCACCATCCTTAGAAACCCCAAAGATAAAATTGAATTAGAAAATCAAGGAGTATACGAAATCCCATGCACCACTTGTCCCACCACATACATCGGACAAACCAACAGAAGAATAAGTGCACGCATTGAAGAACATAAGAACTCAGTCAAAAAAGAGGAACCAACATCTTCCCTGGTCCAACACCTTAAAGCCACAGGACATGAAATTGACTTTAAAAATACCAGAACCATTGCCAAAAGTGAACATTTTAATAACAGAATAATCAGAGAAGCCATCGAGATAGAAAAACGCCCACACAGCATGAACAAGCGAGATGATACCTCCCGCCTACCAGCCATTTGGAAACCTGCCCTTATTGACAAACGACTCCCTAACCCCAAAATCTTAAACCCCTCTGCAACTCAGACTAACCTGAGCACAACCAAACAGAACACTCCCCCAGCCAATCAGAGCACAGCCAAGCCCCTAACCATTCAGAACACACCTCCACCCAATCAGAACACAGCCAAGCTCCCATCCAATCAGTTCATACCCTCACTGGCAGTTAAAAGGAAGAAACAGCTAAAACCACACATTGCTGCTCAAAGCAAGAAGCTAAAAACACCAGCCTGAAGATGACGAATGTGACTTCGTCGAAACGTTGCCAAGACACTTCCAATTTTACGCGGGAGAAAACCCGAACAACCAAAGACCTATATACATATATACATACATACATATATTTGTTTTCAATGATGCAATCCTCGATCTCCTTGATGGACAATGCATGCAAAATTGGAGTGCAAGAAAGAGACAGCGGAACAGTTAAGGCAGTTACAGGCAATCAGGAAGAGTGGCCCCATCACGCGGACAATGAGCAGGCAGTTAGATCGGCAGGAGAATAAAACGAACTTCCCCACCCCTAAGCCCCACTCTGAGGACGTTGGCAGAGGACCAGCGAAAGCTAAGTTATTTTAACCTTGTATATAACTGTTTTTTATTGTTTTAAATACTGTTTTAACAATAAATAACTAGTTTATAACCTTCTTGGAGATCGAGGATTACATCATTGAAAACAAATATGCCCGGGATTCGTATTTTTACAACCATTAAGGATATATATATATATATGTGTGTGTGTGTGTGTGTGTGTGTGTGTGTGTGTGTATTGCACACAAATTGATAGAAGGATGTCTATGTGGAATACAACAGTGTTCAAGATATACTACAGAGGAAATCACTATTATGGACAAGCAGTTAAAGAAGGCAGATTATAGATATAATGCAGCTATAGCCACATCCTTTAAAAAAGTGACCTTTAGGGCTAATGGAAATAAAATTCAAGTTCTGCAATTTTTGGAAGCCTGACTTGACTGTGGGGCTGCCCAAATATATAAACCCGCCTTCCTTTTCTAAATGCAGTTCCTTAACATTTGCTTGTTTAAAGAATGTACATGGCTGTCCAACTCAAATACTGCAACTTCTGGATGGCATACGATACAGCCCCTCCTCCCCATATACCTCAAAGCAAGATGAAGAATTTCAGTCTTTGTGAAGACCAACAGAGTCAGGTCCAGAGGTATTTTGGGAAGATGGGTAGAAACTGTTCCAGATGGCTGGTGTCACAATGGAGAAGGCATATGATCCTTATGGGCAGCTTTGTGACCTAAGACTAATTCTTAACTCAAACCTGGCATCAGAAACCTGAGAATCTCAGCTGTAATACATCCTTTTATGAATACAAATATTCTCTCACTTATAATCTGAAATATATTTTACCTTTACAGGTTATCTTCGTTTAGCTAACACAAATGGGACTACCGTGTTTCCTCGAAAATAAGAGTGTTATTTATTTATTTTTTACCTTCAAAAGGGGCACCAGATCTTATTTTCAGGGGTGTCTTTTCCACTCACCTAACAATGGCGGCACCAACAACCCCGCCAGCCAGACCACTTCTTCTGTAGCCACAGGACCAGCTTCATTCTGCATCTGAGAATGGAGCTTTGGTCTGCATTTTGGAGTCAGCAGCCTTTCCGGAAGGCCTCTGCAGCCGA